CAGGTTAAAAATTACAGCCATAGACCAACAAATGTTTACTAATTAATCATAATTACAAGTAACCACCATAGTAATTTCATGGTGCATCTTTACACATTGAAAATACTAATAAAACTTATTTTAATAATGCAGAAAACGAACCCTTTATATTTCAACTATGGTTTTGCTATTTATACACACCCTTAAGAAAAAGCATTAACTTTAATTTAAGATTTTTAAAGACATAAACTGTGAAAAATGTTCCTCTTCTGTCATACTTTGTTGCTGAACAACAAAGCATTTTGGAATTGAAAAAGCAACAATGTTGTCTTTGGTTAAGTACTGATTGTGATCAGGATATTTAAATCATTTTATCACCATCAAATACAAGGGAGAATCCTTATATTGCATTATTGAACTTGAAATTGCCAATTTTGTTTTAGTCTTGACATATTCAATAAACATTTCACTGCATTAATTTCTACAACAATTTCTTTTGGGCAAATACAAAAAACAGTTCAATTCAGGATTTTAATGTTTGATATTTATGTCAGTTCAAAGTGGGTCATAATGGAACTGAAGCTCCAGGAAATATAGATTACACATTTAGAGATGATGTTGTTAGTGAATGGACAGTAAGAATTTGGCTTCAAAAACAGTTGACAAAAACCATATCCAACAAGTTTATAGACATCAATGGATTTTTGATCAGAACCATTTCAACTGACAAAAAAAAAAAAAAAAAAAAATAACTTCCTTTGGTTAAAAAAACTTTTTAAAAAATAATCAATCTGTGTTAAATCAGTGCCATTTTAAAACGTAGGTAAGAAACAAAGGTTGAGACCAAACAATCACTCCTGTAGGTTTATGCTGTGCAATTGGTGGAAGGAGAGTGATTTAATACATCATAGTCTCTTTCAAAGAGGCTAAACAACATACACACACATATAAACTAGCCTAAAATATTACATTCAAAACACAAACAATACTCAAGTGGGCGAATTTAAAGGCTGTCACCATTCTGCCTGACATTATGTTGCAAGAATTTAGTAAAGTCAAATCAGAGATGCAGACTTTATTGCATTCTGCCTATTTACCCAAACTTTACTATGGGTTTTCATTTCCCCCCACCCACAAATATCTAGATCATTTCCTTAGAGGCAAGAGATTCTCAAATCAAGATCAAAGTGAAGAAGCCTTCAATGAATTTATTGGTTCTTTGATTCTTTCAGAAAGAAAAAGAGAACCTGACATCAAGGTTGAGTAAATGTGAAAAAGTAAAGGAGGAAGTATTTAGATTGAATAAATCATTTATTTTTTCTTATTTCTGTGAATTTTATTAATTTATTTTGTTTCAATAAATCAGCAATTGCATGTTGAACAATTGGATAGAATGGAAAAGAAAAAGAAAGAAAAGGGAAAAAGAAAGAAAAGGGAAAGAGAAAGAAAAGGGAAAGAGAAAGAAAAGGGAAAGAGAAAGAAAAAGAAAGAGAAAGAAAAAGAAAAAGAAAGAGAAAGAAAAGAAAAAGAAAGAAAAAAGAAAGAGAAAAAAAAAAAAAAGAAAAAAAGAAAGAAAAAGAAAGAAAGAAAAGGAAGAAAGAAAGAAAAAAAAAAGAAAAGAAAAAGAAAGAAAGAAAAAAAAAAAGAAAGAAAGAAAAGAAAGAAAGAAAAAGAAGAAAGAAGAAAAGAAAAAAAAGAAAGAAAAGAAAAAAAAGAAAGAAAGAAAGAAAGAAAGAAGAAAGAAAGAAGAAAGAAAGAAAAAGAAAGAAAGAAGAAAGAAAGAAAAAAAAAGAAAGAAAGAAAAAGAAAAAAGAAAGAAAGAAAGAAAAAGAAAGAAGAAAGAAAGAAAGAAAGAAAGAAAGAGAAAGAGAAAAAGAAAGAAAAAAAAAGAAAGAAAGAAAAAAAGAAAGAAAGAAAAAAAAAGAAAGAAAGAAAGAAAGAAAAGAAAGAAAAGAAAGAAAGAAAGAAAGAAAAGAAAAGAAAGAAAGAAAAAGAAAGAAAGAGAAAAAGAAAGAAAGAAAAAGAAAGAAAGAAAGAAAAAGAAAGAAAGAAAAAGAAAAGAAAGAAAAAGAAAAGAAAGAAAAAGAAAAGAAAGAAAGAAAGAAAGAAAAAAAGAAAGAAAGAAAGAAAGAAAAAAAGAAAGAAAAAAGAAAGAAAAAAAGAAAGAAAGAAAGAAAAAAAGAAAAAAGAAAGAAAGAAAGAAAGAAAATTCTCCAATAGCAACACTGGCAGTATTAAGTATAGAAAGTACAAAGCATTAATGAATCCACTGGTAAATTGTGACAATAGAGTCAAGTGCCTTTAAAGAATGAATGCAAGGAAAATACTTCAGATAGGTCAGGAGATAGATACAATCAAGTATATTCATGGATAATGATGATTATTATGGTGATGATTAATATTTCCATTACTATGCTTTTTTATACACCTTTTGTTTTTTATCAATGATTCACAGTTCCAGTATGACCACCCTTATAACTTTAAATATTCAGTTAAAAAAATAAATAAAAATAAAAAATAATACTATTATTGTAATGTCCATAATACTCTTATTAATAGAGAGATTTATTTGACTTAATCTCATGCAATGCCAAAATAGAAGTGAAGAGATTATTAGTAAAAATTAATGATAATATACAAAGTAGAGAAAGCAAATTCATATAGTTTTAAAAGAATTTACCAATATTTTATCAGTATGCTCACAATGATATGGACTGATTATCTTGTGTAACATTATTGCTCGTTTCTGGCCTTATATTTAGCAAGATAGGCCAAGGTATATAACAATAATTTGGAGGGAGCCCTCCCTACAGATGATTGGCAATTAAAATTGTTTCTCTTTTTCTCTCTCTCTCTCTCTCTTACACATTTCAGTGACACCTGCTAGCCAAAGTGATGTAATTAACAAGCATGGTATTCCATAATGCAGTACAAGAAAAGACTGAAATCATTTCTTTGCATGTATGCACACACATTTGCGATTAGACCAGATAATTTACTTTAAATACTTTATATTGGTTAAATCTTTTCAAGACAGTCAAAAAAGGAAAAAAAAAAAAAGTAATATTATCATTAAGAAAAGGGGGAACACACAGGAGACCAAGCAACCAGCAAATGAACAGAAGTATTTAATGGTAAAGTTGTCATGAGATCGAATACATTATTTTTCTGCTTCATGTGTTTCAGAAGAATCAAAATTACTTTGGACGAGCAACCATCGAAAAGATTTTCAAATATATTCTTTTTTTGGTTTCTATGTTAAATGCCTCTTAATATTATTGATAGATTTCAAAAACATTGTTTTAAACCTATCAAGTGAGAAGTTGGGTCATGACAAGGGAGATAGTAGCTTAATTCAAGAAATAAGTTGCAAGGTTGCAATAACTAACACTAATCCTGAAATTTTGACTCCTTATTTTCACATTCTATGTAAGAATTTTCCAAGCAAATCATTATTTTCATATTCCCTATACTTATAGAAGAAATACCTAACAGATACAAAGATTATCGTTTTACTGACTTTCGGTGGAAAAATTAATTCTCTCAAAGTAATTCAAAATAAATTCAATATTTTAAAATGCAAAATCTTTTTTAAAAGGTTCCTTTACTTTTTAAATGTGATAAGTCATTATCTAGATATTTGGTTAACTGGGTATAAAACCAAAAAATTTGGTTCATAAAAATAATTACAAATATTAGTGAATCCTTTCAGTTTTTATATTTCCATAATTTATGTAAAAATATAATTGACAATTTTATGATTTAATGTTATTCTAGAAATTAACATCTTCCAATGCACCTGTGTTACAGAAAATAAATGTGATTGCATAATTTTAAAATAAGGCTATTTGTGATTTCAAAATTAATTGATTGGGGTGGAAAGTAGAAATTCACTAAAAACAAACAAAAACAGAAAACCTGTAATTTGAGGGAGCCTGTTCTGAAAGTGATTCAGAAAGAACATGGATTAATACAAAATAGTGTTAGAAAAAAGAAAATGCATTTAAAGTGTATTTAATAATATTCAAAGGCCACCATGCTAAAAATTGCAAAGAAAGTTTAATTTTGAAATTGCAAAGATTTATTTATTCCAAAGGATAAGAAATATAATAATAAATTCCAAATGACTATCTTAAACACATTTTTAAAACAGTGTGTTAATCTTTAAACTTTCCTGATAATAATCTTCTGAAAAAAAATAAAATAAAAAGAGATTCAATTTCAAGCCAGAGTAAATTAAAATAACAGCATGAAAATGTTGATCCAGTTATTTTGTATTCTGTTTCAGTTCTCTACAAAATTTTCTGTATCTTCAAGTTAGAATACATGTGCAGCAGTAATGTGCGTTATCTAGTTTTACCTATATGGTAAAAAATGACAGCAATCTTTAAGCCATTTTCCAATTGCATTGCTTATATGTTTTGCATATGAGATCTAGGATTTTATTTATACAACTAACACAGATAAGAAAGTTCTGCTTTTGAAATCATTAAAAGCAAAAATATCCAAAAAAAGTGGACACAAAATAAAAGAAATAAGAAGCAATGTATTATCGGCCAAATTGTCTATATTTCTTAAGGTATTCTATTATAGCATCAGACAGCATGTTTGCTCATTAGCATAGAGTAAGGTTTTCTTACTATAACAGAATATCTCATAAGCAATTAGGGGATATCAAGTTTCATGACTGATATATAAAGTCACAGTTTTATATTAAATCATTTCTTCTTTGTAAACAGCTATTCAACCTAGTGGAATGAATACAACCTATTTGGAATTCTATGTGGAAGACAAAAAATTAATCCAAACCAAGTCATCATCTTTAAACAGCAAGGTAATCCTTAAAACAAGACTATTTCCACATAATTTGAAAAGATACAAGTAAAACCACAGACATTCATGTAAGTTCTCATCTTGCATCAGTCTGAAGACAACCTTTGTTAATGTTTCTATTGATCAGATGTAAAACATTTAAATATTAAGAAACATTCTTATTAATGATTTAGTCTCATGACCACATTATGTTGAAACATTCGTTCCCATGTGACCACCAAAGTTAAGTAATGCCAAGCCTGGTCAGTACCTAGATGGGCGACTGCTTGGGAATACAAGGTATTGTAAGCTTGAATGTGCAGGTAGAATAATGGATAATGGTTTTTAAATTGTTAATTGGAGAGATGAGTTTCAATTCTCGTTGGGTTTGTTTATTCACTTATGTACAAATACCCTTGGGAAAGGTATTCATCTCTTCTCCTCCCAGCTATGGATTAATTAGTAAGACTTGTATCACTAAACCATTATCTAAAAAGATTTCTTTGAATTTAAAAATATTTTCTGGGTTTAAATAACCTGCAAAGATTTAATAAGCTATAAAAACAAATCAATCAATAACCGAATTAAAGAAACTTAGTAATTTTATTCTTAGATAAATACTTCACAAAATAAGTGAAGTTTTTGTATTTGAGACTTAAATACTAATAAGAGCTTTTTTCTACCCACCTAATTACTATTTTGTACTCATAATATGTAAGAAGCCACCAGTTGAATAGAAAATTATTATATTTTTATCAAATTGATTTACAGATAAAAATGAGAGTCAATAAGTTAACATTTTGAACATCATTATAGTTAATTAAAAACAGCAATTTTCTACCTTTAAATGTATATGCACATGCACACACAGAGACTAAAACTAATGCTTTTACCAACAAGAAACATTGCTTCAAAGGAAATGTCACTTGAAAATCTGTAGCCTATTTTGTTCATCGATAGTTGTCTGCCTTGCAAGTGATTTTTAAACATGTCTTGTCCACTATCTTGTTATATGCAGGTAATTAGGCATAAGAATTCATGAATATTATTAACCCTTGCTTGAACCATGCTTGAAACAGCAGGAGATAGGAAGATGTGCCATCATATTTAGAGACAGAAACTGTAAGTTGATCATTAAGGTTAATTCAGAAACACATGTAAACTGCTTCGAGTAATAGATTATAGAAAAAGAATTATACCAACAGTTACTCTTTTAATGAAAAAGAAAAAGTAATTACTCACATTTATAAAGTGCCAAAAACAGCCGATGACTAACTTGTGGGGTAGAGTGGACAAAGTAGTGAATTAAATGGACAAATGTATAATGATTTTATATATATATATATATATATATATATATATATATATATGTATATGTATATATATATATATAGAGGGAGAGAGGCTTTTGTTCTAAACATATTTAATATAATAAAAAATTGGATGAAAGAGTGGAGATGTGTTTCTAAAGATTTTAATTTTAGTTTTATAGAAATCTAATTTTAGAATATATTAGAATAAGTAGGGTTATTTGAGTTATAAACGTAATTCTTTGGTATATCAATATAATTATCATTTGTGTTAAGTAAACTTTTTTGTCTTTAATGTAATTAGATTATCACAAGACTTCAATCATGAATCTCTGTTCTTATATCATTGCAAACTCTGGCATTTTAGAGAAACGAGACAAGTATTCAAGACATCTTATTGTCATTTTAAATAAATCCATTGACTTTAATAAAACCAGGCTAAAGTGATGCATTCTGACTTACATACTCAGACAAATTCCTGTGTTTATCAGAAAGAATTGAATATGCACATGGTGAAATTGATTATGAATAAGCAGGACAATTTAGTAAAGAGTGATAATTGAAGCCTAGTAGTCTTTTAAAGGAATTTGTAGAGTATATTACAGAGCTACAATTGTTCAATGATCAAAGCTAAGAAATAAAGATAAAATATGATTAACCAACATTTTGGTATTATCAAAATCAGAAAATTTTATACCATTATTAATATTTAGTGGCCAATGTTGGCTGACAGAAATGAGACAAGAAAAGGCAATAAATTAAACAGAGAGAGAGAGAGAGAGAGTGAGAGAGGTGAAAAGACATGAAAAACAGAAAAAATTTAAGAATTATTTACAAAGTCTACAGGAAAATGGTGAAGCCAATATCAAATTATAGACTTGTAAGAAATTTATCATTTTCTCATTAAAATTAATCAATCATGAAATAACAGCAGAGGTTAATCTGATCTGTGCATAGGCTGACATGTCCATTTAACAAAATGATTAACCCTATTCCAATCTTAAGCACATATTTTCTTGGAAGAAAAAAAAAATTTTGCTATCATTTTTTTTCCTAATTGTTAACACAGCACAAATTGAATGACAACAGTATTTTATTAAAAATAAATAAAAAAAAATTAACTTATTATTTCATTTATCAAAACAATGTAATCCTAAATCTATTCCAGATATTAAATGGATTCAACCAATTTGAGTACAAAACCACATTCATGGAACATGCACACATATAAAAAAACTCCCTACTAATTAAGAGACCAGTAGAAATTCCAACATTGTTACAAGTGACAGTTGGAATTTGTAGACAGAAATGTATTATATTTTGGATTTACAATCTGCTTATAAAACAATTTTCAACACCTTAACATCCAAAATTTTATATTAAAAAAAAAAAAAAAAAAAAAAAAAATCAAAAAAATCCTGTACTTTATGATTAAAAGAAACTAAACTAATGCAAAATAAGGAAAAAATTTTAACTACTGATTTTTATACTCTGAAAAATGAATGTATTCTGTGGAATTTCTACTTTGAGGCATTCTCCATGACAGATGAATAGATCAACATTTGTTTTCTTATAAATAGTCTAAATGACCATTAGGTAAAGAGGGGGATCATTTATTTTAGCTATCAAATGTGCTAATTTCTTTAATTAGCTCTTATTCATAATGCAAAAGAAAATTATTGTAATCTCAAAGAAAAACAGCCAGGCTTATTTTATATTAAAAAAAAACAAAAACAAAATCCAGATCATTTTAAAGAGCCTTCATATATATATATAAAAATCCCAATATCAGTAGAAATTTCTTATCCTTCTACATTCCTAATGAGCTATTTAGAAGTGTTGTAAATGAACTGAAGTGCCTTAAACATAAGTTGAAGTGTGCTAAATTATCCGCTTTATCAAATACCATTCTACACATTATCTTCTTAATGGTGTGTTGCACTGTTTTAACTTTTCAAGAAAATACTTCTTACAACAACAAAAAAATAAATAAAATAAAATAATGACCAACCAAAATGATCTATTTTCCAAGTGGCTCCCAAAGAGACTCATTTCTGTACTAAAAATGAGCCAATCAAATGGAAGGAGGAGACAGGAGCGGGGATGAAAGAGAAGAAATTACATTTCAGTTTCTCTCTACTTTCCCAAAATATGTGGTTAACAAGTCAATTGCTCTGGGATTAAAAGGCAGATCATGAAATGCTGCAAGGGAAAAATTGGCTAAGAAAATAGATGGCAATATTTGAGTGAGTGAGTGAGTGAGTGAGTGAGAGAGTTCTGCTAGTGTTTTGCTTAGCTTTGAAAAATATCAAGCATTTTAGGCAGCAAGGGGGGTTTTAAAAAGGGGAATTTTAAAATTATTCAGTATACAAACATTTACTACAATGTTGATGAAATTCTACTCAGTACATGTTAATATTTTTTCTTTTCACCACATTTTATTTAATTTTTAAGTAATATATTTTTATTAAATTGAAAATACAAAGAATGCAGGAAGTTTACTTTTTTTCGTTCCTTTTATTAAGCAAGGGAAAAGAGACATGCAACATCTTTTTTCTTATACAGTGGAAATTACCAAATAGTAATAATACTCAATTGCAGAAAATGCTTAAAAATAATGGAAGCTTTAGTAAAAAAGAAAAAGAAAAAAAAAACATTACCATTACAATCTATATATTAAGACAAACAAAAACATCTTTGATAATGGCTAATAGATTAGCCAAAAGCACTTGGAACCTAGACAGTTCTTAAACACACTAAGAAATCTCATGTACACATGCAAGAAAAATATTAAAAAACTGCAGAACCTTGTCAATCATCTTCAATGAAACCTGTATAAAAGAGGAATTGCTACCCAACAGTCCTTTTTAATGAAACTTGTTTGGATATATAAACAAAGGATTTTTTTAATCATTTAATCCCAAGCAATACAATAAAAGCCACTAGTATGAAAGGGGTTAGTGAGATAAAGAAACAAAGAGGACAATAAATGAATAGGATTCAAGGAGACAGGAGATAACGATACTGCATTTAAATTTTGGCGATCATAGTTGACAGGACAGCAAGAAGCCAGAAGAGAGTTCCATAAACAAAAGGTGTGAGAAAAGAAACTATTAGCAACTAACATTTTCAACAATGAAATTATAAGACCTAGCTGCCAATCTAGTACTGCACTTAAATCCATGAAGTCAAGGTACCAACAAGAAAAGCTCATCAGAACAATTATCATAAAAATATTTATAGAATCAGCAAAGAGAAGCTACATTATGGTGGTGGAAAACTGACTGAAGTCAAGATGACAGGCCAGGACCGATAACATTGATGATGATTCTTTGGATTTTGTCAAGAATCTCTAAATACATAGAAGTACTAGACCAGATGCTGTACCAATATTCAAGGCACAGACAAATAGTAGGCTTTATAAATGTGCAAGATAGATTCAGGTGTGGAAAACTGTCTAGTACAACATAGTGAACTGACTCTCCTAGCAGTAAACTAAGCAGCTGATTCAATATATAATCATTCAACTTAATATCAGTGGAAAACATTAGACCAAGGAGTCACAATGAGTTACTCTCCTGAAGGTTAATATCAGCCAAGGTGATTGAAGGCAAAAAATGTTCTTTAAGATGATTTATAGAAAACAGTTTAATTTTAGAGGCGTTAAAATAAATAAGTCACTTCTTGACTCCAGTTCATAACAGATTGAAAGTCATTTTCAAGATCAGCTGCCAATTTGATTTTATTGAGCTTATCAGACTTAGTCTGGAATAAGAGAGGAGTACATATTTGTGTCATCAGCACGGATATAATATCAGGAACTGATGACATCAGGAAGTTCGTTGATGAAAATAAGAAACAGAATGGGTCCAAGAATAGAGTCCCAGGGACACCTGCATTAATACAAAATAGTCTAGAGGAGTGGTCATTCAAGACAATTTTTATTATGCGTTTGACAAGAAAGATAGAATCAAATCAAAGAAACAGCTAGCAACACCAT